TGTCTGTGCCTGTGTGTGTCAGAGTGTGGGTGTGTCCATGTGTGTCAGAGTGTGGGTGTGTCTGTGTGTGACAGTGTCAGAGTGTGGGTGTGTCTATGCCTGTGTGTGTCAGAGTGTGGGTGTGTTCATGTGTGTCAGAGTGTGGGCATGTTGTGGGTGTGTCCATGTGTGTCAGAGTGTGGGCATGTCCATGTGTGTCAGAGTGTGGGTGTGTCTCTGTGTGTGTCAGTGTCAGCGTGTGAGTGTGTCTGTGTGTGTCAGAGTGTGGGCGTGTTCATGTGTGTCAGCATGTGAGCGTGTCTGTGTGTGTCAGTGTCAGTGTGTGGGTGTGTCTGTGTGTGTCAGTGTGGGTGTGTCTGTGTGTGTCAGTGTGGGCGTGTTCATGTGTGTCAGAGTGTGGGTGTGTCCACGTGTGTCTGAGTGTGGACATGTCGGGTGTGTCCCTGTATAGCAGTTCCCGCAGGCCTCTCAGAGACTGGCTTTCAGAAGCGGGCTGCCCGGTGTTTATGGGACAGACTCAAAGTGCCAGCCGAGCATGTTAACCATTTGTGCCCAAAGGCCCCCATGGAGCTGACCCTCCCTCCTCCCTCCCTCTCTTAACCCTAGGGCCACGGCCTCCTTGCTCACCCTGGGGGCTGCTGCTCATCTCCCAGCTCTGTGAGCTGTCCCAGGCCCTGAGGGTGCCGCTCCAGGCCATGGGGTGCACCTCATCAGTGTCTGCTGAGGCTGCCCCTCACGCCAAGAGCTGTCGGCTAGTGTTTTGGGGAGCCCGTGAGCTCCTCGTTAAGCCCAGTCCTTCCTGAATGTGAAACCACAGACCCACAGGGAAATCTATTGCATTTGTTTCGCACCAAGGCCTTCAACATACTCAGAATTGGCCCGGGCCTCCCTGTTCACTGCCTCAGGCCAGGCGTCCTCAAACGACGGCCCGCCCAGGACATGCATCCGGCCTGCCGGGTGTTTTTGCCCCATTTGTTTTTTTACTTCAAAATAAGATTTGTGCAGTGTGCATAGGGATTTGTTCATAGTTGGGTTTTTTTTTTTAACTATAGTCCGGCCCTCCAACGGGTCTGAGGGACCGTGAACTGGCCCCCTGTTTAAAAAGTTTGAGGACCCCTGCCTTAAACTGTGGTCGGGGCGCTCAAGTTTATGGGCACCATTTGTAGTTGAACACGGGAAACATGTTAACCTGTGAGTTTTCTGTATCTGAGCGTGTGACACATTGTCTCACTGAGCCCTTTTGTGTCTGGGCATTTGATACATTCTATCGCTTTTGCAGCTCTTGTTGCAGCTGGGTACCTGCTCCATTATAGCCTAGTGAGCTGGGCCCTCTCTTCTTAGCCCGGCCTGCAGGCGGCAGTGAGGAAGCAGCTTCCTAGGAGCATTGGCGAGGGGGAATTGGGGAGCGCTGTGAACTAGGGAATTCCCCCAGAGAGGCTGTGCCAGGTGCTTTCCAGCACATGGCGGGTTCTGACCCTGGGCGGCTTCCCCGGGACTGGGCTGAGGCGTCCTTTGAGCAGGTGGGGATGCCTTTCTAAAGCAGAGCAACAGCTGGTGAGGGCACACGTCGGGGCGAATCGCCCCATCTCCCAGACATAGACTCTGAAGGGTAGACGTTGGGTATTGCTGGCGGGTTGGGGTCTGTACCTGATTCCTGGGCCTGGGGCGTCTGTGTCCCAGCAGACAGACTGCCCTCCTCTTACTGGGGGGGGCAGGGACTTCTCTGACGGACACCGCCGGGAAGGCAGCCTCACCCTGGACTTCCTTCCTGCCTCTCGGGAAGAGCCCACGTGGACCTGGGCTCCTCGGGAACATGACCAGTGCCCCGCTGGCAGGGTGTTGAGAATAGCCCCCAGGGCAGGCCCCTGACTGCCCCATGTCCTGGAGGAAGGGGCTGGGGTGTGTGTGTGTGTGTGTGTGTGTGTGTGTGTGTGTGTGTGTGTGTGTAGAGACTGGAGAGGACAGGAGCCACAGTGACTGCAAGGGGCAATGCTATCCTGGCCCCCCTTTTTAGAACACCCCCCACCAGCTCAGCTCAGCCCTGCTCCCTGGCCCTGCCACACCCATCACCGTCCACTCCGTCCTGACTGCAAACAACACAGGTTCAGTGCCATCAGCCAAATGCAGGCTCAGAGCAGAACTGCCCCCGTGGGTTTCCAACACTGTAACTCTTCACAGGAGCGGGTGGCCTTGTCTTCCCTGCAAAGAGCAGCTGGTTTAGAACTCCCGGCCTTCTGAACTGCAGCCCGCCCATAACCCTCCACTCCTGGGGCCCACTCCCAACTCCTAGTGACCCTGCCCAGGGTACCAAGCTGGAATTCTTTGTGGGAGCAGACAGCTTCGTCTTTCTCCTGCGGAGCAGCTGGTGGGGTTGAACCCACGATTCTTCCCTGAGCAGTCCGGGGCCTAACCTGCACCCTTGGTAGTCTCCGAAGGTCTCTGGTTCCTACTCCCCTGCCCAGCGCCTGTCAGTGTGGTCAGCCAGCGTCTGTCCTCCTGTCGCTGGCTGTGGGGTCCCTCCACGTGATGCTGGAGTCACTCGGGGTGCATGAACTGCGGGTGGACATGGGGCTGTTTCCGTCAAGGGGAGGGGTGACCTGGTTGGTCAGGTGAGAGCTAGCCAGCCAGAGTCTCGGGGCCGGCCCCTCCACATGTCCAACAGGCAGTCCCATGAGGGCACGAGGGCCACGGGACAGATTCCCAGCGATGGTCATGAGCAGGCAGGGCAGCAGGGATGGGCTGGCCAGACCCCTCGCTTCTCAAGGTGACCACGTAGGCCTGATCACATGTTGCCTGTGGTTTTGCCCCTGTCTGATGCCCTCTTCTCCCAGCCTCCCCTGCTGGCAGTGACTGCCCTCTCTGGGCATGTCCGGGCAACCAGGTCTGGTCATACCTGATACTCTCTCTGAGGGTTGAGAGGGGCTCCCCTGTGTGGGTGCCTCGTCGTGTGTGGGTGCCCCGTCGTGTGTGGGTAGACACTTGGTCTGAGTCCACCTTCCGGCACGGCTGTGAGCACCCGTCACCTTGCGCCCACAGTGGCCGTTCTGAGGCCAGGCTCCGTGTCCCAGCCCAGGGCCAGCACTGCTTCCTGACCACCCCTCGCCGGCCCCCAGCCATGGGCCAGGCAGTCTCCAGTCCCTCCACAACCCAGCCACTGGTCACTTTTCTCCCCAGACACACATGTATCCATGTGTCCAGACGTGGGTCCCGTGTCACCAACCACAGCCCCTCTGTGTCCTCATCTGCAGCCCTGCTGTGTCCTCTGCATCCACAGCCTCTCCATGGCCCCCACCAATGGCCACTGCGTGTCCCTAACCTCGGTCATGCTGTCCCCAGTCATCATCACTTCCAGTCCCTGGTGTTTGTTTCTGTGGGTGTGGCCCTTACTGCCCCACAGGGAGGACTGTACTGGCAGGCTCCTGCCCCCACTGTACACTGCCCCCCACCCATGTCCCAGCCCCACTGCTCACTGCCCAACCCCCTACCCATGGCCCTGCCCCCACTGCTCACTGCCCCCCTGCCCATGTTCCAGCCCCACTGCTCACTGCCCGACTCTCTCTGTGCAGAGACACCTGTCGCCTGAGGACTTTCTTGGGGTGTTCGGGATGAGCGTGGTGGAGTTTGAGCGGCTGGCGCTCTGGAAGAGGAACGACCTCAAGAAGAAGGCCCTACTCTTCTGATGCCTCCTCCACCACCCCCCGCCCCTGGCACGGCCGCAGGGACAGGGGGCACCGCCCACAGCTGCGCCAACCCCGCCCACTGCACTCCTCTCGGCCCACGTTCCCAGAGGCAGGTGGCCAGGAGCTCCTCCGGCTGGGCTGGGGGCTGCAGGGTGGTCCGCCCCCATGGGATCCGGGCACCTCGGATGCTGTTGGCACAGCTGCCCTCGCAGATGGACAGTCTGCCCTGTGTGCCAGCCTCCGGGAGATGCCCCGTCACGGGCAGGTGGGAACACAGCACCCGGGCATCCCCCACCCCCATGCCTGCCTCAGTGCCTGCAGTTGGCACAGGAGCTGCGGTGTCCAAGAGAGCCCACGGGCACCAGGCACCCAGCTTGGGCTCTTGGTTTAGGGAGGAGGGCCTGTGGACGTCGCCCATCCTCCTGTGCCCTCTGAGGCCCCGCACCTGCCCCTCAGAACCCCCAGCTGCCTTCACAGGGTCCCTGGGCACCTACAGAGTGTTTGTTTTGTTGCAAAGTGGAGTCGAGCGAATGCAGGATGCCCCAGGGATGAGGTCCCCTGTCCCGAGCACCTCCAGCACCGGCTGTGCCCCCGGCGCAACCCTGGGGAGGGCGAGTCTGTCCCGCAGTGTTCCCGGAAGGCCACTCCTGGGTGGGGCTGCATGAGCACCTGCAGGCTGGGGAGGGGCTGGGGGGCTTCCACGTGCTTTTTTCTCAAGTCCTGTCTGCAGGGCTGGGGTGGGGGCCTTGG